CTCTGTAATTATGGATCTGCCTGATTTCTTGTTTGTTTGTTTTTCTTTTCCATATTTCATAACCCAATCGAGGTGTCTTTAACTTGTCACCATTTTAGCTGTAGTCATCGCGAAGCTGTTTGCATGGGGGGAAAATTTGTGGTTGCTGTTTACGGTGTTTCTTCACCCCTAAGCTCGAGAGCAGGCATGCGTGTTTTGATGTATGCACACACTTATGCACCTTTCAGGGGAAAAAAAAAGAAAGAAAAAAAGGTTTATTGAAGTGAAGACAGAGTGTAATTAAATTGGGTTTTATTCATAAATGCGATGCTTGACAGCAAGCACGTGCACATGCAGAAATGCACATACACGAGGCTCATCTGAAACTTCACGCTTCCGTAGGAATGCTGTTATCTATGGATTTAAAAAAAAAAAAAAGAACACAAAATACCATGACAAAACCTCACCTCGCAGTTCTTATCCTTTCCTAAAGCATAGGCCTGGCACTGGTTTTATCCTCGAGGTTAATAAACCTCCAGGCGCCCTTTCCTGCACGCGCTGTCCTGCTTCCCCACACAGGGGTGCCCGATACCGTCGCACATCCATCGAGCCTGTTTGCGACTCTGGATCCGCAGGGGCCCCTCCGCTCCCTGTAGACGTACTGAGCGTGGGCCCTCTGCCTGGGAGTCCAGAAGGGTCTCATTTTTCTCCCGTCTCTCCTCCATGGCGCCTCAAGGCCTGCTCATGGGTGTTCCTGAACCCTGCAGAAAGATGCCTGAACTCCTGGATCTGCAAAATTAGGAGAGCTAAAGTTCAGGGTCTTGCAGGGCTTAGTTTGTTGGGCATTCACGGAAAAAAGGTCCATTCAATCAAGTCCTACACAGCTGCAGTCCTAAAAGCATCTTCTACCTACACGCCCAGGGGTGCCTTCCTTTCCTTCCGTTGTCTGAGGGGATGCTAGCCTTAGAAGAAGGTTGTTCAGCAGTGGAAAGCTACATTCAGTGTTTCTTGAGAAAGCAGTTTTCAGTTTTTCATAGAAAAATTAAGTCTTTCTTGCTCCAGAGAGACGGGGTTTATTCAAGAGGGAAGGGAAAGGTGTCCCTGCCCCAATGGCTGCCTATTGAGGAATACTTCAGCATTGCTTGGAGCAGACTGGAAGACAGGTCTCATTTTGGGGGGAATAGAGTGCTTCAGCCACATTCCCATAGCATCTGGCAAGGCCACTGCCTTCAACAGCTCACCTGAAGGTGGCCATGTAGGCGCACACCCTGGCAGCTCTCTTAAACAGGCAGTCTGTCACACTGTGATAAAGCACCAGCAGAATGTTACACCTCTTCTAGCTTCACTGGGTGTAGCTAAATTATGGTAAATTAGGATATACAGGAATATGGGCTACCATGACCAAGCAGTTTCTGGTACCTACAGTAATTTGGATGCCATGGCTGCATGGGCTGAGCAGCATTGATAAATTCTTGGTGACCATGCACCAGACTGGGTAGATTCCAGCACTTACCTGCCCTTGACTTTCATGTAGACATGTAGCAACTACCTTTGAGGTAGGTGCTTATTTATGCTTATTAGTACATCTATTCACTCTGGTAGTAATCTGTTTAAAAGATTCCAGAGGGTTTTCATGGATTAATTTCTTTAATGGGATATTGTTTTCCCCTGGTGATTTGATAGGTGGAGGCAAACGTGTTTTTGTCTGCAGGTCCCATAAGGGACCGAATCGTTCTGCTAAATAAGGAGCAGACACTGGTTTAGCAGCAGTCTCCATTCAGACAGGAGCTGGTCTCTGCGGTGACACTGGGCACTGTCACTGGAACCATGAACGGGTGATGTGCTAAACACAGTTCAAGTGTTCACTGCGAGTAGAATCAAAAAAGGCTTGTTTTGATTTCCAGGACGTTTTGCATCAGCTGTATTCCAGCACTTTGAGAGAAGGGAATTGGGTTCGCAAAACATCCCTTCTTCCTGCCATTGTATGACACAGGACAACTTCTTTCTCCTCCTTCCTCGGGATGAGTCAGTGAGTATCCCGTGCACTGGCTTAGTCATTTTCAAGCTGATGTCCAAAACTGAAACACAGAGTGCAGGGGGATGGTTAAAACGTCTTGGTCCCAGCAAGACACTACGACCAAACTCTGTTTTCCCACAGTCAAGGAGGAAGGGGGAGAGGAACGTGGATCCACTTATTAGGAGAGTGCAGTTAATGACTCCTTGAGAAAGGAGACAATTTATTTAGAGGCTAAAATCTGAAATCTCATTTGCAGCTCTAAATTCAGGTAAAAGTAGGTTCTTCGCCTTGGTGCAATCACATCATCTGAATTACAGAAATGCAGGGGACTTCACTCATAGTTCCTTTACCTAATTAAAACATTGATCTCCTCCTGCTGCATATGGCTGGGAAAGGGAAGGATTTCATTAGCGCCCAGTCTTCCTGTGAGAGACAGTTCAATGTCAGGCAATCGTAAGAGATAGCATAACCTTCAATTTAGATGCAAAAGTGTCCATTTAAATTCCAGAATATAGCTTAAAGATTCCTCGCTCCCGTTGACTGGCGATTGCAAAGGAGAAGTGCAGCGAATCCTTAATTAGCCAGAGCCCAGCGCCTCTCCAAGAGGAGGCACTGAAAATAGCTCAGAGCCCCTTCCATGGGTAAGAGCCAAGGCGGGCTGCACGGAGCGCGGCAGGGCGCCTGCAGCAAGCGCCCAGCAGATGTCTCTGCTCTGCAGTGTTGCTCCCGGAGAGGCCTTTTTTAATATATATTTTACAGTTACCTACTTGCAGATACATATAAAGCATATTAACCTTTTGCAATCTTTATCCAAATTCTTGTAGAGGCATAACTCATGAAAATGGTGGCTCGTTTCTCAGTACAGTTTATGTAATTCTCTTGACATATCCATTCCACTGAGTCCTTATGAAATCATTTTGAGGTTAACAGTGAAATGACTATTTCCTCTTTCATGGATACAGCTGTGATGATAATAGCACAACGTACTCCAAAAGAAGGCACTCTGCAGCAGAAGTGAGCTTTGCACAAGTCTTCCTCACACTTCTCCGCTTGAATTGCAGCTGTTCTGCACACTGATTGCTGTGGTATATTAAAAAAAAATGCAGAGACCTTTCATGTAAGAGATGAAGCAAGCTTGGAAGGTGTTGGCCTCGTAGCTGGGAGTTTCTTTTTCTGATTCCTCGCAAGGCCAACAGCAGCTGAGTGGCTGCTGGGAGAGTGGCTGACCTGCCCCCTGCCACCAGCAGCTGGTCTGGTGGGTCTGGATTTTGCCTTGGCTTGGATTCACGTTGTGTCCTGGAGCCCGCCATTCAGCTTCTGCCAAACCCGGTTATCGCGCATGGAAGTAGGGGTGGCGGTACCACAGGAGCTCCGGGGGAGGCACGGAAACGCATCGCGTGTTGGGTGAAGTCGGAGTGCTGTAAAGTACAGTCTAGAGCACGACGAGGAGGGAGAATGGGCGTCTCATAGTCTGCATGGATCATGTTAGTGATAATGATGATGAACAACAGTCCCAGGAGGCTCCCAGGAGGCCTCTTCTCCATCGCGCGGTTGCTGCGTGCATGAAATCCATACGGATGTCAGTCAGACACATCAATTTTATCTGTTGGGAATGACAACAAAAGGATAAACAGAATAATGTAGTCAAGTATAGCTGCTTTAACTCCATGCTTTCCAGGCAAAGGAAAAAGATTTTGCAAATATTTGGATGGAGAAAGGCCTTGCTTTTCTTTTCTGTAGATTTTTGGGGGTAGGTCTCAGAATATTTATTTCACAATTACTTTCTGCTTTTCCTGAACACACTGTCTAGAGCACTAGACTAGACTAGAGCTCTAACTAGAAGAGTTAGTCCCTGGCTGATACTACTTCTCATCCAAGCATATGAGAGAATAGTAGATAAGTGATTACATTATCTCTCTTTATACAGTGTGAGGAGGAGGAACACAGGAATTAAGTGACTCGAGAGCGCACATCAAGCCTAAAGACAAAACACGGTTTGAAGCAACGTATCAAATACCATTCCAGAGAGCTAACTACAAAATCAGTCTTCTTCCATTTTCTACAAGAGTGAAATTCATGTTGTGGATGGTCAGCAAAGTTCTCATGGGAGAGGGTCTTCATGTATACCTTGCTCTTTGGGCAAAGTGCTAATGGCATTTCCTAATTACCTTTATACTGTCCGTCTGTCCTCCCAGACAGAGTGGTTAATATCATTATTATTCAGCAAACTTCAGTTTAATTAATACATAGTTCAGATATGACTAGGATGAGCAAGACTCATCTAGTACTGTGCAAACGCAGTTTATTTCTCTTTGAGTGACCTCTGTGAAACCAGCCTCACTTGGCAGCATAAGCCACAGTGTCACTAATGTTTGCTAATCTATGTGAAATAGAGAAAGAAACTCAGAGAACATGGAAAATGAAAACTTCATCTTATCAGCCTAAGTCAAGGTCCTTAGTGTCACTTCCTACCTTCCTAGGACCTCTAGTCAATTGGCATCCGCTTTGCAGTAGTCAGTGCCTATGCCAAGGCTTGCAACGTACCTGGAGGGGTCTTAAACCTATTTCTGACAGTCCTGACGGAATCATTTCGACATTAGTCAGATTATTCTTACAAGACAAGCAAAAGTGTTGGCCACGGCACGTCTTCTTTTCTCAGCATCACTCCCACATGCTCTGTCATGTGAGTAGCAAGTGTCTGTTTAGCCTGGAGAAAAGTTTGCTGGAAGCAGATACTGTAAAGTTAGAGCTATTCTAGAAAAATGGTGCACAGCTGCTGAAAATCATCCATCCACAGAAGCAGAAATGAGTCTTCCTGTGCAATCACAGTGAAATAAAAGGCCCACGCCAGCTTTCTATCTGTCTTTGAACGATTGCGCTTTGTAGAGGTCTGCTGGCCTGCACCAATACCCTCTTACAGCCCATAAGTCATTCCTGTGCTTTTGGCTCAGTGCTGCTGCTCAGATATGCAAGTGCACGCTCCTGCCTGCTTGAAAAATCAGCTGCTGCATATGTACATAGTAGCACGGAGGTGGATTTTACAAGATACGTGAAATCTGCATGCCAGCATATTTGTGGGCACTGAGCCCTTAAGCTTCAGAATATTTTTACAGAATACAAAATACTGTTAAAAATGCAACAGTATGTTTGTGTCATGGTTGTAGGAAACATTTCTGAATATGTGCAAACAGTCTCACTGGGCAGGGAGTTGTCTTTTTTTTGGATCTTAGCACATAGCGCAGAAGTGGCAGTCAGCAAGCTGAGGTGCTCCCACAGTAGCAATATTAAGAACTAAACAGTAGGCTAAGGGAGGGATTCTGCAGTCTCACAGAGAAATGTAATAGGAGTATGTTAATTTCTACTGCATTTTTGGGACAGAGAAGGTGTCTCTTCCTATGCTTTGCAGGAGCCCAGAATGCTGTCCATCTCACTGCAACAGCTCTTTTCTTGCTGTCAGTCAGTCCCAAAGTGAACAGAGCTGACAGATTTTTTCAGGTTTTCCTTTTCCTAAGGACCTTGAAAGACTCAGCTGCAACAGAATTATTCCTCTTTCTTTTTTTTTCCTCTCTTTTTTTTTCCTCCCTTACCTGCTTACTCCCACTGTAGTTGTCTTCCCCCTCACAAAGAGACATAGATTCAGTTCACATCATTGCTACATCAATATTTTACCATCACTTTGCTGAGAAGGATCTGAGGAAAAATACGATA